TCTGGATTTTGTAACTTTTTGTATATTTCAATTCTTTTTACATTATTTACAAGTATTTTCCTCATAAAAGCAAATTAGGAATTTTTTTTTCATTTCTTTCAAAAACATTGCTCTTTGAAATCTGCTTCAGCACATTTGCTCTATTTTGCTCTTCTGATGTTACTTTTAGTTATTAGTTAGCCTTTCACCACATTTAGTTTCTAGATACAGTAATATGAGCATTTGGCTTCTTTTATCCAGTGTTTTTGATACTTTTAGCTAGCATTTTGCTACTCCTGGTGTAGCATTTTACTTCAAGGTCTACTGCCTTACTTCTTTAGCTTCTTCAGCATTTACTGTACATTTTTATAGAAAAAGCTACAGCTAGTCTTAATTTTTTTTATAGCTTCCATCAAGGGAATGTTTACATTTCATTAAAGGTTTTMATGATTTTTGGCCACTTTATACACAAAATGTTTCAGTTTACGTGTTTTGTTGCATGCATTTTTAAATCTGCCAGCTACCTGCTGTCTAATGGAAGAAATCTGTTTCAGGGAAATGTTCAACTTTGTTTTTGTTACAGAAAGTGAACTTTAGCGTTAATTTGTTTACACAAACACACACAAAAAAAGATTTTCATATTTGCAGTTTTGCTCTTTGTTAAATGTTGGTACTTTATTTATTTAGTGTTTTTTTTCTTTTTGTTGCCCAGTTTAGTAAATCATTTTATATTACCAACTTTTGTTTGAACAACCATTCAATAATAAAATTAAGCTTTTATTTATTTTTCTGTTATTCAAACTATATGATTTTATTGTACTTTTTAAAATATGCACTCAAAAAATATTGTAGTCGATTTATTGAAAAAAAAAACTGTTTTCACTCAACTGCTTTTACTTTAAATTTTAAATGTGCTTCCTTTACTCAGTTCAGTTGAGTGGAAACAGCTGACAGTTTTTTTTAATCCACTGTATTTGTTTTTTGAGCGTACATATTAACCGTTTAGTGTTTCCATTAGTTTTATAATAAAGGATGAAACCTTTTCAGACTTTATTATCTTTTGTGCTTCTTTTTGAATATCCAAGAATAGCTGAATGTTTCCACTGCAAGTGAACTATTTTTTTCTAATTCAGGAAGGGGTGTGTTGTAAATGTAATTTRAACCGACTCCATACACCTGTCCCCCACCTTTAAACAAATATCTAATGCATCACTATTCAAATATTTTATTACAGTTCTGCTCAGCTGTAACATAAACCAGCAGATTGAACTTCTCACACACGAATCTCTTGATGGGGTGACATCTCATCTGAATGGTATGTTTTCAGTGCTGTTAACATGTCATAATCAAAATAAATCTATATTTTTGCATATTGTGGTTATATGTTAACTTTTAAAAATGTATTTCAAATGTAAATATGGATTAATGCATAACTTTGTTATTTTCAGGTTTGTTGGGAAGGTTTTTAAATAATAAAAAAATTAAAACAATGTGTGCACAAAAAGGGTTAAAATAGGATTCAACAACAAACATAAAGAAACTTTCACTAGATTTTTGTGCAAAGTCTTGCATTTTGCTTGTTAAATAAAGTAGTTTGTGTTAGATGAAGCAGTTTATGCACAATAACACGAAAAAACTGAAAGGATGACAAATTACCAAGAACTGCAGGCAATTTTAGTGTGATTTGTGAAACCATAATGACACCAAAATACCTTTTTGCATGAATTTCAAAGATAGAATTACAGTAAATAAGCCCAACAGAAACACAAACAGACACCTCAGAGAATAAAAAAAAGCCCACCATGTTCACAGATGTCTTTTTATTTTCAAGCTTTGCTTCATCATCTTGTTCGTCTGCTGGGTCTTCTTGTCCCGTGTCACTCTGACTGCTGCTTCCAGGGGCTGATGACAAAAGATTTAAAAAAGAAGAAGATGGATAAAATGACTCACGTGTAGAGACACAAACCAGCAAATAAAATTAATAAAAATTAAAAAAAAAAGACATGAAGATTCAGTGAGATGGACATTGTTTTCTATATGTCCTAATCCGAAATGTTTGCAGATAAGTAAGTCTAATTTTATTTGGGTTTGAAGCTATAGAATTTTGTCAGTTCATGCCTCAAACATCAATATGCAGYCAGATTCAGCTGCTGCCAGAGTGTGAAAAACAAAATCGACAATTTGTCTGAGACTGGTTTGATTTGTTTGCAAACAAGGTGTGAGGATTAAGATGGAAAGCAGCATGAGTTTGGATGAAATGCTCCTGCATAAAGGAGGGTTTGAGCTGCTGCAGCACATAATATTTCCATGTTTTGGAGGGGGGGAAAAAACTTCCCGCATGTGCAAATATAAAAGCAAATAATGTTTTTTTCTACTGAAGCATTTTCTAAAAGTATGCTTTTCTTCTTTTATGTCTCAGGAGTCTTTGAAGCATGTGAGCTGGTCATAAAGAGACCAGCTGTGCCAAGATGAAGCTGAAATCAGACCCAACAAAAAGGTGCAATCCACTCTGAACATACAAAATGATATTGCAATCCAAACTGGAGATGTCTCAGCTGAATTAAAGCACATGAAATCACAAATAAGACACAGATTACAGTGACTATTTTGTCTTGTTTTAAATTTAGGCCAGAATAAAGTAAAACCTCTTTCTTTGTGTGCCTTAAATGCAATGTAATAATGTCACCACTGTGTGACAGCAGTGCTCAGTACTCAGAGGTTTTTTTTTTTCTTTTTTGGCACCCAAAGGGCTCCACAATAGCTGCTGCCCCCCCTCACTGCTGCTTCTGACAGAAACGCTCTGGTTTTTATCATCTTCAGCTCTTTCTTCAACTCTCATCCCAGTGGACTCACACCTGTTCAGAGCATCATCTCCTGTCTTCGTGGCATCTCAGAAACTCTTTATTCAACCTACCTTCACACGTAAGTATCTTTATTTTATATATTTGTTATACTTAATTATCTATCAAATGAGCTAATGGGTCTTATAAGTGGAAGTCAAAATCTTCAAATGTTTGAAATTTGTAAATTATGCTATGTGTCTCCCTTGCAGTAATTTTAAATTTTTGTATTTAAATATGCAGCTGTTTGTGTATCCCTTCAATAAAAATCATCATGCATTAAAGAATAGTTATTTATGCGTCCAATTTGAGCTGCAAAAGTGTAATTTCTTGGAATAAAAGCAGGGAGGAATGTGAGCCCGATTCGCATAATTTCTTCATGTGCTGTGTGGAAATGTGAACATATCTCATAACAGTATTCCTGAGGTGATTTGCTGAGAGGGCACACTCACGGTCCCTGACACCCCAAGCAGAGAATAATGAGGCTCTGGTCATTATCTCAGGTTTGAGCACACAGAACAGCTGCCATTACTCTGAGCCTCCACAGGCAAGAAGCAAACGCGATGGAAATTGTTGCTGAATATCACATATGAGTTTATCTGGGTGTGTGCAAAGGGATCTTATGAGGAGTAAATCAGGTGTGATTATGAAAAAAAAGAAAAGGACAAAAAGGAGTGAAGGAAGCTGGGCATTTTTTAAGACTCAAAATTGTATTTGAGTTGATAAGCAGCTCATCTGTTAATTATTTCATATTCAATTTTTCATATTAAAGTGTGCATTGTGCAAGCTGTCATTTTCCTTTCCAGTCACATGCATGCACTGTAATCCACTTGTGCAGCCTTCCAGAAGAGCAAATATCAACAGACCTTCAAATTATTGTGAAACTTGCCGTTTTTGCACGTGAAAAAGCATATTTCTCGAGGCATTTTGCATTGAACAAATGTAAAGGTGTTGTAAAAGATATGTTACTGTGGAATATCATCAAAGGAGCCCTTTGACAAATGATGAATGCAGAAAATTGTCATGCATTGTAAAAAAGAAAACGTCGTCTAAGAAACTAGAAGGAAAAAAATGACACTTTGTGGCTTATCAAAGGGAACCTTTTGCAGTTTCTTTCAAAGGGGAAAAAAATTTTCAAAAGAGAAAACCAAGGCGAGGGTAAATTACATGTACCCATTCGATCATTATGTCAGCTGTTTGCAGAGGCGGGAAAAAGATGAAGACAGACTCAGAACTGATTCAGATCGTGGTGTTCTTTGCTCCACAAAGATGTAGCTCGAGAATAGTTTCATCAAAAAACAACTGTTTGTTGTGCCTCCATCATTGTCTGATAACTGTAACATGACAGGGTTGAAATGTGTCCATGTTAATAGGCCTTGTTTTTCATGCTGGCATTTTTTTTTCATCTGTTTTATCTGGCTTTTATGTGTCGCTAATGGTGACATTAAACATGCCTTTCCACCTCTGAACAAAGGATGATCAATGCTGTGCCACCCTGACTTCAGCACACTTATCACACTGACAGCGTACGTTAGTGAAGACGCAGCACAAAGTGACTGATAGCTAAGTGCGTGTGCTGTTAATGGAAAGTGACAGTCTCATTTTGTTTATGACGATGGCTTTCACAGCACACGGCCGAGGTTTCAGGGGAGACGGAGTGAATCCATTTTTAGGATTTTGACAATGTCACGCCCTTTCATGTTGACATATGATGCCACAGGAGAAAATGAGAGCCCGTGCTTCGGCGTACGCACAGTAATTTTACATGTCGATAAATTATTATCTCCATCTTGAAGTGTGCAGGATTTGTGGGCAGGGGACTGATGAGTTAAAATGAGTAAGGAAAGCTGTTTCTCAGAAGTAATGTGCACAGAGTTGTTCATTTCTAAAAGTAAAATAAAAAAAAAAGCTGTTTGTAATATTTTTTGGCTTATCAATAATATTTTTAGCAAAGGTTTGAGTCATAAGAGCCTGAAACCCATGTTTTGTGGTCATTGGTACAGAGTACTCAAAAGTTGTAAGAGTAGCACCACATCAACACATTTTTACTCAAGTAAAAAAGAAACTACTCAAGTAAGTGTAAAAAAATATTTCATAAAAAGGAGTACTGAGTAACTGATCAAAACATCTAATTTATTATTTTTAAAATGATGTCATCAGACTGACAAAAAAAGTTATTTGCAAATTCTGGTGTTTAAAAGACTAATTTAGAAAACTAATAAGTAACATAATTACAAAATAACAAATTCCAGCAGAATTAACACTTCTACAAATCTATTTTTTCTTGTTATGAAAGTAATACTAACAGTAGGTAATGTATCTATTAGAACATGTAAAGTAGTTCCAGTTGACTACATCTACTGTCCGTCAGACAGTTTTCTGCTGCTTATCCGGGGTCGGGTCGCGGGGGCAGCAGCCTAAGCAGAGAGACCCAGACTTCCCTCTCCCCAGCCACTTGGACCAGCTCGTCCGGGGGAATCCCAGGGCGTTCCCAGGCCTGCTGAGAAGCATAGACCCTCCAGCGTGTCCTGGGTCTTCCTCTGGGCCTCCTCCCAGTGGGACGTGCCCAGAACACCTCACCAGGGAGGCGTCCAGGAGGCATCCTAACCAGATGCCTGAGCCACCTCAACTGGCTCCTCTCGACGTGGAGGAGCAGCGACTCTACCTTGAGTCCATCCTGGAAGACTGAGCTTCTCACCCTATCTCTAAGGGAAAGCCCAGACACCCTGCGGAGGAAACTCATTTCGGCTGCTTGTAATCTGTGATCTTATTCTTTCGGTCACTACCCAGAGCTCATGGCCATAGATGAAGGTTGGAACGTAGACTGACCGGTAAACTTCACCACGACAGACCGGTACAGCTCTAGCTCCATTCTTCCCTCATTCGTGAACAAGACCCGAGATACTTAAACTCCTCCACTTGGGGCAGGACCTCTTCCCCGACCCGGAGAAGGCACCCTACCCTACTGTTTAACATTTATTCCCATGAGCTCCAAATGTCTCAGCAGATAGAAAATATCATCAGTTTGAGAAGAAGCAATAGGGCTCACTTAAAAATAAACAGTAGACATGTCTCTCTGGTGCACCTCTGGTTAAAACATTTTTGCTCTTCATTCAGTGGAGTTACTTACGATGGAGTAAACAGAAATTTTACTCAAGTAAGAGTAGTGATACTTCATAAAAATATTACTTAATTGAAGTAAAAAGCACAATGTAGTAAAACTACTCTTAAAAGGTATTTTTCCCCCAAAACGTTACTCAAGTTAATGTAACTGAGTAAATGTAACTCACCTTTGTTCAGTGAATACTTCACTTTAGTAAAAATACGCAATCAACAAGGGAAACTCAGGATACATCCTCTGGGAGCCATGAATGTAGATTCAAAATTTTATGGTGCTCATCATGGTGATAATGCTTATGGAGGTTTTCCTTAAAAAACTCTAACTGTGATTTCAAGCTGTTTTTCTAATTAACCACAAAAGTCGACRAGCTGGGTTTTCTAATCAGATTGCTTTTCTTATAACAGACCAATTTCTACACAAGGACATTCAGAGGTTTTTAATGTCTCCTTCGGTGTCTCTGTGTCTCAGATGTGTGCTTTCAGAGGACTGATATGGATGGCTAGATCCAGAGAGGCAGTGACACTCAGGTCTTGGTGAGATGTCCATCGGTGGGAACTCAGGCCTGTCTTCCATATCAGCATCGCCTCTGCTCCTCAACGCCTCCATCCCTCCGTTTCCTCTGCAATGGGAGAAGGAAAGCGCCGGTGTTGGGTCTCTTCAGGACTGGCCCGAGAACCGGACCCAGCTCATCTCGGACCTTTCCGTCCTCGAGCACGATGAGCAGTGCTACATGTCCCCTGTGCTTACAGCYTGCCTGGTGCTGTGGTACAGCGTCACAATGGTGCTGGGGCTGGTGGGGAACATCGGCCTCATCTGCATTATCGCCCATCGCAGAGAGAAAGCCAACGTCACCAGCATTTTCATCTGCAATCTCTCGTTCTCTGACATTCTGATGTGTGTCTTCTGCCTCCCCTTCACCGTCATTTACACACTCATGGACCACTGGGTGTTTGGGTCYCTGCTGTGCCGCCTGGTGCCGTTCATCCAGTGTGTTTCTGTGACTGTTTCAGTGATGTCGTTGGTGTTCATRGCCTTGGAACGACATCAGCTCATCATCAACCCCTCCGGGTGGAAACCAAGCGTTCCTCAGGCCTACATGGTGGTCATTTTTATTTGGATTCTCGCCAGCTTCACCTCCACGCCTTTCTTGGCCTTTCAGCTGCTCACAAATGAGCCGTACAACAACTTAGTCCTGCCACTCCATCAAATGTCTCCACATGTTTATCTCAATACGTCTCCACCTCAGTATGCCTCCAACGCATCTGTGCCTCTGAATCTGTACCGCTCGCTCTTCTCTTACGTGCCCACCGCCCCACACATGGAGGCTTGTGTGGAGCACTGGCCCTCWCCAGAGCACAGGATCGCCTACACCACCTGGCTCCTGCTGTTCCAGTACTGCGGCCCGCTTTTGCTGGTACTGCTCTGRTATGTCCGGGTTTTTGTGCGCCTTCGTCATCGCAAGGAAATGCTGGACCGTGCCAGGACCCCGGAGAGCCAACGCATGGCCCACAGCCGTCGAATCAACATCATGCTGGTCGCRCTCATCACAGCCTTCGCGCTCTGCTGGCTTCCTCTCACCATCTTCAACGTGCTGGCAGACTGGAACCTGGAGGCRCTGCCCGTCTGCCACCACAACCTCCTGTTCTCCCTCTGCCACCTGCTGGCCATGTCCTCCACGTGCATCAACCCCATCATCTACGGCTTCCTCAACTCCAACTTCCGCCAAGAGGTCCGAGAGGTGCTGCTCCACTGCCGCTGTGCCCAGCAGGAGGAGGACGGCGAGCGCATCCCCATGTCCACGGTGCACATGGAAGTGTCCCGCACCTCTGTGCCTCTCCCTTGCAGGAGCAACTCAGTCTGATTGTGATGCTGCACTGTGAATCAGACCACTATCATCATGTATGGACATGACAACAGCTGTTTAARTAACTTTAAAACTCTTGTTTTGTCCGTGGTTCAAAGTGAAATGTATGGTAAAGTGTTTTTGTTATCTTATTTTGTACAATCACAAACTTAAAAATGTGTTGATAGAAAAAAAATCAAAAGATTTGGTGTTAGGCGACACAGTTGGGACACTCTGAAGCCATTCTATAGGACTGATAACAGCTAATGACGTGCATTTAATGGATAATAACATCTGAAGCGGGTGCACCTCATCAAAACTGACAGAAGTAAAAACAAAAAATAGAGTAGAGCCTGTTGTTACATTTTTTATATTCCATCACTTTTTTGTATTTAAGGCATTTGTGTAGTGAAAGCTTTTATCATTAAATAAGGCACAGGTCTGCTGATTACTGTGACTAAAAACATTAAGAACCAGTGCTTTACATAACGTAACTGAATTAGCCTTGATTTTGCATTCATTGGAAGTGTTTTTTTTTATTATTTTTTTGGACGGGGGTGTAAAATACAATTTAACTGTATAATTATCTTTTTGATGGAAGCAGTGTGAGTTATAAAAAATAGATTTGTACGCATGTAGATTTTATTCAACAGTATGTTTAATTTGGATGTTTGCTTTTTTTGTGTGACAGTGGCAGACAGGCAGTTATGCATAAATCTGATTAAATAATCTTAAAAGAGTTTTTCCTAAAGGAATCATTACCGAACTACTACTTTTTTATGTGTTACATTTTTTAAATTATGTCTGGGAAAACATAAAATAATAAAACAACAAAAATAAATCTATTACTTAAATAGTACTCTTTTTGTGTTGAGGTTTTTTATTCTTTGTTTCCAAGGTTTTTTTTTTTGTGAAACTTTTAAATGATTTTAATCAATGGTTTTTCACGCTTTTTGAAGGTCTTTCATTGTTTTTTTTTTTATTTGAAATTTGGCTGACATTCAATCTTTTTCAGTCTTTATAAATATGATGACGGGTCAGCAAGGTTTTGTATTTTCCTGCACTGAATGCTAAATTTTATGGGTAAGCAATTTAACAAATACAAAAARTAGAAAATTGGGATTAGAACTAGATGAGTGTTTCTGTAAGGACCTCAAATGGGATCACAAACTATTGTTAGGGGGTCATGATAAACTAATTAACTC